ATAAGAAGTAAAATGTCTTCTAAAATGTGTTTGGTCTGTGGTAAAATGTACTTGACAAATAGATTGCACCATGAAGAACATAAAAAAGCAAACTTGATAAACATGTACGCCACTTTCACATATTTCATTATTTATTTCTAATTTCCCATAATAGCTCTAGCCAACTGTTCATATTTTCAGTGAATTTTACAATATGTAAAATATTTTTTTAATTTTTTTTCTAATTTCCCTTGAACACTTTGGGTGCGTTCGACTTGGACGCTTACGCGCTGTGAGCGCTCACGCTTATAAGCACGAATTTTTAGCGTTCGACTTGGCCGATAAGCGCTCAGAATCGATAACTAAATTCCGTTCGTTTTGGATACTGTGAGACTGTGAGCGTCAATAAGTATCAAAATGGCGGCAACTGGCGGTAATGGTAATTGTGTAAATTTTATTACTTTCTGGATTATTCAGCGGGATTATAAAGAATTTAACAATTAATAAACGAATTAAATTTGGTTAGCTTATGCTTAATTAATAGTAATATTAAAATTAAAATTTAAAATTATTTAAAATTAATTGAATTTAAAATTAATTAATTTGATATTAATATTAATACTAAAAAATAAATGTGATATACAACTTGGCATTTGTGCGGGATTATAAAGAATTTAACAATTAATAAATGAATGAAATTTGGTTAGCTTATGCTTAATTAATAGTAATATTAAAATTAAAATTTTAAATTATTTAAAATTAATTAAATTTAAAATTAATCAATATTAATATTAATATTAAAAAATAATTGTGATATACAGCTTGCCATTTTTGCGGGATTATAAAGAATTTGACAATTAATAAATAAATGAAATGACAGATAGTAAAAACAACTGACGCTCACGCTCACGCTGCCCTACCTCTGTGGCGTGAGCATATGTGAGCGCAAAATATGTGCTACGAGCATAGACCTTATACAATTTCATGGACTGCTAGTCCCCATACATTTCTCAAGTAAAAAAGTGTCAAAAGATGTTCTATGTTATGAGGGCATACAAGGGTAATTTCGCGGCCGAGATATGTCAAACTGGATCGCTTAAACGTCAAATGAAAGTCCGTGTGTTCGAAATTGTTGGCAAAATATTATATAATATACAATTTATGTTGAACTAATGAATGTAATGAACTATTTATTTATTAATTTATTTATTTTAGTTATACAAAGTGTTTAAGGGAAATTAGAAAAAAAATTAAAACAATATTTTACATATTATAAAATTCACTGAAAATAAGGACAGTTGGCTAGAGCTATTATGGGAAATTAGAAAGCAATAATGAAATATTTGTTTAAATGTAATATATTTATTATTGGTGTTTAAAAAGCACAATTTTCGTATGAAAGCGGAGTACATATTTATCAACTTTGCTTTTCTTTCTTTCTTCATGGTGCATTCTAATTGTTAAGTAAATTTTTGCGACAAAGTTGATAAGGTCATGATAATGCTGGACAAATTGCTGGAAATAACTTGATCTAAAAAACATTAAATTTAAAGAATTTTGAATTAGGCTTTCTATATATAAACATAAATTAAACATTTCTTCGGAAGGATATGAAAGATATCCTCGATTTTTTATATCGATCAATGTCGAATTTCCCGGAATACTTGCGAAGCATACAGAACAGCACAAAACAGGTTTTACTGCAATCAGGCACCTTACCTAACACATTTTAGAAGACATTTTACTTTTAACAATTTTACAACAGGTATATATTTATCCTCTTATAGTTTAAAAACCCGAGCGATCAAACATCACGTGAACCCAAGTAACTGTAACATTTAAGCGATCGAGAGCATTCGACTAATCTCGGTAAAGCTCGTGTTCGTATTTGACATATCTCGGCCGCGAAATTACCCTCGTATGCCCTCATACCATAGAACATCTTTTGACACTTTTTATGCGCTCAACTAGCAGTCCATGTATTGTATAAGGTCTATGGCATGGGGAGTTATCTCCGAACAAATGCTCGTTACACTGTTTTGGCGAGGATTAATATTTTTAGCGAAAAAAAGATGTCGCTACTTGTATCAATCTCATTAATCGAAAAGAAAATAGATGGCTGAGCTGAAATTAATCGCCATTTTACCTTCTTATATAGTGAAGCCGTAGTGAAGCATTTATTTACGTTGTGAAGTATTTTGTTTATAATAAATTGTGTTCAAGGAATTATTATCAAATTAATATGGCAAAGTGCAGTGAAACAAATTGTGGTAACTCCAGAAATAATATAAAGTTGCATGTCTTTCCGGCATCTAATGATCAGGTATGTATATAATGATGTATTGTGTTTATATAATAAATTTGTATAATAAAAATATAATGAAAATGTTTTAGATGTTTTCAATTTGGGTGCAGAGGTCTAATAATCCTTTAATGGACGATTTAACTCCATTATATTGTGGCAAACGTTGTTATGTCTGTGACGCGCACTTTACAAATGTTTGTAAAGTTGAAAATTTGCCAAAAAGTTCGAAGACAAATTTGAAAATTAATGCCCTACCGATTTGTTGGGAATCCTTACCTAGAAGAGAATTGTCTCCTGGATAAACATAGATTCCGTAAGAATAATAATAAAATTTATATATGTATTTGATAGTTAGATTTTAAAAAACTTATATTATTTTAGAGACTTGGTGTGTCGATTCGCAAATGTAATGTGAAAGCATAGACATACCGATTGTCAAAGAATATTAATCCCATCTCAGGTAGATAAATACAAGTTGTTTAGACATTAATTTTACATGATATTGTTGCTCACTTAACTCAGGTACTCTACCTTTTTTTTAATAATTTATACATTAATATGCTTCCTTTGTTAGCTTCTTTGATAGCTTCTTTGAGCATTATGGAACTTACTTATGGAACACATACTTTTTGCAGAAAATTACTGACAAATTAATCTTATATTTTCAGTTAGGAGATGGAGACCTAAAAACCTCAGAAAAGATTTTTGCAGTACCCCTAAGATTGTCAAGTGCGGGTTAAAACAGTCACCTATTCTGACACCAGTTTTCCGGAAAGGTATTTTTTTATATTAATTACAGCAATAATAATTAATTAATCAATTGTGATATTACAACATGTTATTATATTTAATAGATGTCCTAGGAGGTAACTGCAAATTGCTTCAGTATTCACTGATTAAACGTAGAAGTGCTTTAACTCTGTTCGTTGCTTTACACCAGGAGGTGTAAAATGTATGATACATCAAAAATTTTGTTCTGGGAGATAAGAAGAATTAACAAACAATGTAATAATTTAAGGGATAAATTGCAACAAAGTATACAATGTTCTGAAAAGTTTTCAAATATTCCGGAAACACGAAATGTAAGGGCAAGAAATTTTATATTGTCTCAATTAAGAGAGCATACTAAAAGACCGAAAGGAAGAAAATTCACAGACGAGGACAAAATTCTTGCTTTAAGTTTGTATAAAAAGTCTCCAAAGGCTTACTACTTTTGGAGACAAATATTTATTTTGCCATCTCCTCAAACATTGAGAAAGTTGCTTTCAGAGATACCTTTGTATAGCGGTATAAATGAGTGTCTTTTTAATACATTAATTTCAGCTATTTCTCATAAAAAGTATGAGAGTAGCAAATACTGTGTTTTGATGTTTGATGAAATATCACTATCTTCAGAATTGTCATATGATCGTAAAAAGGATCACATTGTTGGTTTTGTAGAGTTAGCAAATGGCAGAAAATGTTTATTTCCGGATCATGCACTTGTTTTCATGATTAAAGGAGTGAAGAATCGTTGGAAGCAACCAGTTGCTTTTTACTTTTCTGAAGGTGGGGTTAATAGTTCTGATTTAAAATCTCTTATTGTTGATGTAGATGAACAATTGCACGTGCATAAAACTTTTTTCTGTTCGTAGTAAACACAATGTTGATACTTTTTGATCTTTTATGGCAATTTTGATGATAACGTTTTCATCATGATCATGACACGGTTGAATGTAATGTTTAAAAAAACATTCATATAGAATCTATTCAAAGATTTCGTCAAATGCAGCTTTATTAATGATTGATTAGATAGCAAAATAACTATTAAATGCAGAGTTAATAAAGAAGAATGTCTCGTAAATGAATTTTAATCCTAGGAATTCAGTTTACTCTCAATTTTGATATCAATATATTATATATATATAAATATTATTTATAATATTATTATATTATGTTCTTATGATTTTTTGTTTATGAAGTATTTGTACTTTTTAACAAGTTATTTGTTCTTTTTAACTTTTTAAATTTTTGCATTATTTGTGATTCCTTCTGAATTTGTTATTCCGAACTACACAATCTCTGTTATATATTATTGATCATTAAGTAAATCATATTGATCGTTCCTTGTAAATTTATCATACCATTGTGAATACTTTTTTTAGTTATTTATAAATGTAAAATTATAATACTTATTATTGTGTATATAATGATTATTACATTTTAAAAATTTTAATTGTTATGTAAAAATGTTTGTGATATATTTGAAAATATATTTTGTACTTCGTATATTTTTTTTCTCATTTCCAATATAAGAAATTATTTAGGTTTTCTTATTTTGAATTACGTATGCGAACCATATCTAGGAATAATACCAGCGGTTGATTTATATACTGAACAAGTGCTGCCTCCTTTAGATCGCTAAAAATATTAAAATGGCGGTAATGTCAAATGGCCTCAGATAGCGATCTAGTTATGTTTACTTATCTATGGTCTATGGCTACGAGCATCCTACGATGATGCTACGAGCGTACTTATGTGACACTCACAGCGCCAAGTCGAACGATGAAAGCGATAGATGCATAGATAAAAGAAGAGCATAGATGATGACCGACCATGCGATGAAAATCATTTTGAAGGATGAAATCTTTGTTTGCTACTCTCTATGCTTGTTATGTTAGTCTATGAAAGTTGTTTTGCTTGATTGGCATACATTGATAATGTTTTAACTAATAATTTTATTACTTTTACCTGTGATAATTGACTTAATCGCAAAGTTATTTTTGAATGTTCAAGATGATCTATTTTAAATAATTTTTGCAATGAAAAAATACTTTGCACTATAGTATTAATAGTAAAATAATATAATTTGTTAGCAAATAGTGAAATTGAAAGAACGATGAGTGTTAATAACGCTTTATTATTTGCCTGTTCCCGGTGTTTTTCAAGACATCCATTTGAAGAATTATCATCAGTTCAGCAGCTTTGTAAGGTAAAAGATTTATGTACTTAAATTATCTACACATGATTTAAAATGTCATTCTTACTTTTAGGAGTGTCGAGGATCTTTTCCTGTTGTGAAATGCACGTATTGCAGATCAGAATTTCAACAAACGAAGTAGGTCTTTCGTATATATATATATATATATATATATATATATATATATATATATATATAATTTTAAGTGTATATAATTTTTCCATTTAGTAAGAAAGGACTTTGTATTTATTAACACATAATATTTATATATGAATGCCGGTTTGCAATAAGTGAGTTTGTTTCTTCTAGTTTGATGTTTTATAATCTGCCATTTTAATGGCACAAACAGTTCACACAGCAAGCATCACAGAGGATAAACACTATTATCAATCTAAGAAAATTATTAGGTAGTCGTTATATTGATAGTGAATTTGAATATGTACCAGTTTGTATTATGACATATTCCATACTTGTGGTTTTGAACTATAGCAGTAACTTTTAATTTTTTGTTTAACTTTCCCTAAATTAACCACACATTAACACAGTATATATATATATATATATATATAGGACACACACACACACACATATATATATATATATATATATATATATATATATATATATATATATAGTAGATAATCCTGCAGATGTTGTTTTGTACTCACGTCTACAATTTAAGTTCCAAATTTTTTAATATCCTATTCTATACTTTTTAATATTCTATTTAATGTCCTTCCATTTATGGCCTTATATAAATAGCATAAGCTATATACAAATTGGAAACTGTAGTTTTTTGATCAGTATAAGAAATTCAGAAAGAATAAATAATATCTACGGTAAAAGAACAATATCACTTTTGTTATTTCCAATTTATATAATATATAATAGTCTATAATTTTTATAATGACATACCCTATATCAGTTGCTTTTTGGAAAATACAATTTCTAAATTACATTTTTTTTACTAATAATTTAATAAACATTATTTTACTTAAAATCTTAGGTGAATTAATTTGTAAAATTTAGTTTACATTGGCACTATACAATCTAAGATCATGATGAAACAAATGAATTTTTGACACATGAAACAAAATTCTAATTCATTTTCTCAATAAGTAGAAATATTCTTTTGTATTTATATAAAAAGTAAAGCAAAATATAACATGAATAATTTTAAAAAAAAATGAATATGCATTTTTGGACATATTGTGTTATTTGTTAAACTAAATTATATAATTTCATAAACATGTATTGTATCTTATATTGTTTTAATTTCTGGCGCATCTCAGCTAGTTTTCGGCAATAATATTGTAGATATTACATTTTTCATATAAATTTCAAGTGAATTGACATTTTTGGCAGATGACAATTTTTATGTATCAAAATGTTTTCAATGTCAAAAATGATATGTTTTTTGCAATTTTTTTCCATTTATTTCTATAATATTACTAGTTCTTATAATCACATACATCCTAAAAAATTCCCTTAACAAACTTCAGAAAGATTTATCAAGATCCGAATAATTGTTTAGGAGGAGTATATATACATACATCACTACAGAAGAATTTTATATATAACTAGCTCACCCGGCAAACGTTGTTTTGCTAAGTTAGGTATTTCTAAGCAACTTCTAAAGCATAAAAAAAAGAATACTTTATTTTAGGAGTGTAAGGATGTATAGTTTGAATGGTACAGACAATGAGGTATTATAAACACAATAAACTCCAAAGTCTACTTGTATAATAATAAATTATATAATTCATAATAATAATATTCGTTTGACCATATTTTGTTAATACAATCAAACTGGAAGTTTTATACACTTTCTATAAAAATATGGTATCATTCAATCCAAGTCTTTTTTAGTCTTTAGCCATGGTCAATGTTCAGTTGGTCATTTTTGTCCCTCACAGATGTAAGTTTTTAAAGTGGTTATATAAAGAAAACTGTTGAATCCCACTCAAAATTAACATTACATTTTATAAAACAATTAAATAGTTAAAATTTATATTAAGGTCTCGTGAACTAAATCACAGTGCTTACAACCCAAAAAACTAACAACAAAAGGAAATACTTTTGTTATGGATTTTCAAAGATTACCGTTTATCTCCTGATAGCAAAGTCATAAGAATCAAGGTTATAGCTGGTTATACATCTTTTCCCCTCTAATTTCAAATATTGTTGTTGAACAATGCTAAACTTTACTGGTTTTTGAGATATTGGTGGTGGATCTTATTAACCCCAGATCTTCATATATTACTATCCATTCTTCGATAAATTCATAGAAATTTTTTCCAGTTTATTCTTCAAAATTAGTGGAAAATAACCATTATTGAATTATATTTTACATTGCATCATCCAATGAGTGTTGAAGTTCTTCACCTTTTTCAATTTGTAGAGTGATTTAATAAAACATGAATGATACCTGACTGTGTCTAAAATGCATGGATTTTGACATATCTTTTGAAAGGAATTCTTTCAGAATTATACTCATTTTTCTGCTATACTTGTTCTAGTACCCGAACTGTTCATACATTTAATTGAATGCGAGCATTATAATCATTTTTCAAAATATTTTATTCCAGAGAACTTGTAATTAGTGCATTGACATTTTTACAGATGTGTGTTCCAAAAGTTATATTATCAACCAAAACTTCTTATTTAAGTAGTGGTCTGTTATATCTGGGAATAAGTTATTCGACAAAATGTCCCCTTTGATCGACTCCAAGTTTAGGTTTTTATTTTAAATAATCTAAATAAATTAATTATATAATCTAAATAAAATAATTATATAATCTAGAAAATGTTTTATAAATACTAATGAATATAAAATTATGCAACTAAGACTGGACCAATTCGTACAGCCATTTTAACGTTTTACCCCGAATGTTATACAGCTATATAAAATGGACATTTCTTCTTTATGAATTTGCTTGAATATATGTAGATTTTCAACATTGAGTTTCGATATTACTTCTCTGAAACAGCTACGCAGCGCGATTGCTAAAATTTCAAAATACAAAAAATGTGTTTTAAAAGTCTTTTTTCATTTTTCAAAAAAAAGCTCTTTAAAAATGTAATTTTCAGTACGGGATGTTTCAGTAATTTGTCTTAAGGCACAATGCCATGAGTCACTAGTTAGTGTATATATGATAGTGCAAAATTATGTGCCATGCGCTAGCTACTGATGTAAGACCATATTTATGTAAGTTACTTTTATGTTTATATATGTGTATATGTCTGTATTGTATGTATGTATGTATATATATGAATATGTGTATGTATATATATATGTATATATATGTATGTATATATATATATATATATGTATATATATTTATTTGTGTATATATATATGTGTGTGTATGTCCGTATGTATATATTTATATATATGTATTATGTATATATGTATATATATATATATATGTATATATATATATATATGTATATGTGTACGTGTTTGTAAATGTATATCATATATATGTCTGTTTATGTGTATATTTATGTATATGTATTACGCCTTTGTATGTTTATATATATTTCTTTCTACTTATCATTTCTTTTGTTTGTCTATCTGTTTAGTTATAATTGTTATTGTTATAATTATATTACTTATATCTATAGTTCTTTTTCCAATTTCTGTCATTTTTTCCTAGTTCATATTAATTTTTCAATGTTCATTCTGTAGATCCACTGATGATGACATAAAATCCTATGTCTAAGCGTTTGGAAAAACTTAAAGATTAACTTCTAAATCTTTGCCTTTCATTTGATGTATTGCCCTTGAAGATATATGATTAATTTTTTAGAGGGCGCTAACTTTATTAGCGAGTGTAGGTGTTGTTTCCTTATTCACCAACGTCCCCGTACAATTATTGTTAGATTCTATAACAGATAGATGGGATGAAATTTCTTGTCATACTACACTTTCATTACATTGGTTTTTAGAATCTGTCAAGTTCTTAATCACAAACACCTATTTTGAATTTAATGACCATTTTTATCTTCAAATTTTTGGCACCGCCATGGGCTTCTCTATTTCCCCAGCCCTAGCGGAATTATCGTTACAGCACTTAGAAACCAGAGTTTTTAATTCCATCAACATAGACGCTTATTTCTATTACAAATATGTTGATGACATTATTACTTGTATCCCCCCTCAAAATTTTGACTTATTGCTCCACTCTTTCAATTCTTTTAATAAACATATTCAGTCACTTTCGAATAAGAACCAGATAACTCCATTCGCTTTTTAGGTGTCAGAATTATTAAAAACATAGATAATCGCATTCTCACTAACTGGTACCAGAAACCTACTTGGTCCGGTAGGTATTTAAATTTTCACTTCTACCACCCCTTTAGTATGAAAGTAGGAACTATCATTAATCTAGTAGACTATGATATTCTCCTTTCTGACAAACAATTTTGTAACTTCAACTTAGATCTAATTTTCAAAACCCTCATGCACGACTAACCCCCACATCTTATAAAATCCGTCAAAAACAATAGACTCACTATTTTAAAAAACAAAATAATTAACCCCAACCTGAGCTTAACTTCCACAATGGATAATGATTTTGAAGGTACAATTTGCCTGCCTTATATTAAGGATCCTTTATCCTTTATGGAAAAAACTTTTTTATAACGCAAATCTTCGTTTAGTATGCAACGTCGATTTAACGCTTAATTTCCTTTTCTCAAATTTGAAGCCGCGCACTAGTTCAAACGAATATCCAATGTGGTCTATAAGATCTCTTGCAATAGCTGCAATTCTACCTATATTGGCGGAACAGGACCAAACCTTATTAAACGTTTAAAAGAACACGACAGTAATTCAAAAAACAAAAATAAAGGACAAATGAGTGTTTTAGTAGATACAGTAGTCTCGGAATTTGAAAAGTGGCTCAATAAGTGGAAGATAAAAATAAATGAAACAAAATCTAGTCATATAACCTACATAACAAGAACCCTGGACTGCCCAAGCGTAAAAATACTAACAACATAGAAATTTGAGAGCGTAAAATATTGGGACGTTAGACCATGGGATTCATCTGGATAGAAAATTCACATCAAAATCAACGCACATCAAAATGAAAAGAAAATAGATGGAGAAGAAGTTTAAAGAGTTGTATTGA